ATCGGGGAGCACCCTTTCGTTTTCATTGATGTCCATGTCGCTGAGCTCGGTCACAACACCGCGACGCCGCAGCGTTTGTACAACGTGCAAGGAATCCCATTCCATCACCAACGCGTCCACAGCGGCCCCCGTCGACGGAGCAGTATCCCGTGGCCATCAGACTCGTCCGTTGAATGCTCGACGCAAGACGCCGTCGTCGTGCACGCCAATCTGCTGTGACTTGTTGCGCATGACTTCTCCGACTGCTAGACGCTGGTCTCACTGCCACCACCGACGTGATCGCCTTGCCTCGAACCCTGCCATGAACATGATGAACGACCTGTCCCCCCGGAACGACAAGTGCTCTTTTGGGTACACCCCCCCTCCCAATCGTTTCCCTCTATGTAACAACTTTTTTGGGGTCCCCCCGCGGGGTCCCGTGTAATATCCATCGGAATGATTTGGAGCTATAAAAATTGAAGTATTAACACTTTTTAACACATAAAAAATTAACATATATTTAAAATATAGAATATGGTTTTTATGTTTTATCGACATCTTATCTCCCCCCTTGTTCTGTTATCCGGTAATATCCGGATTCAAGATCGTGGCATCGATGACGTGGCACTCTCTGGTGCGTCCGATCCGTTTTCGACTTAGATCCACTGCTTGACGAACCGCAGAAACGTGAAGAGCGACGACACGATCGTGAGGAAGACCGCCCACCAGATAAAGTACCCGTACTGCGTGTGCAGTTCGGGCATGTTGTCAAAGTTCATCCCGTACACGCCCGTCATGAACGTTCCTGGGAGAAACAGCGTGGCGCAGATCGACATGATGTACAACACGTCGTCCTTGTGCTGTGCGCGGATCTGCTTGTCTTCGTCGACGAGCTCGGCCAGCGTTTGCATCGACTCCTTCAAGCTGCCCGCCATTTGCTTGAGGTGGTCGCGGACATCGCGCAGGTAGTTGCGAACTTCGCCCTATGCGAACGCCACGTTGTTAGCTTTCCACCACCGTGATGGGCGTAAATCAAATGCCGTGCCACCCACACATGCATGCATGCCGGTCAAGTCTGTCGACCATAACCCTACCTTGTTGAACTCGTCTTGGTCCAGGAGCTGGCCGTCGACAAGGTCCAGCAATGGCCGCACAATCTTTTCAATGGCCAAGAGCGTTTTTTTCGTCTTGGTCAGCCGCTTCACGTTGAACTTGGTCCGTTCGAGGCGAAGAAGCTTCCCCATCGTCGTGAGCTGCACCTCCATGACGTGGACGACCGGACGCATGTCCTCGGCGACGGCATTCAGGATCGACACGACGAGGAAATGCGCATCGTGGTTGCGGATCTTCGAGTACGACTTGCCCATTTGGTTGTTAAACACCGATTGCCACAGCGGAAACCCCGCGACGTCGTCCAAATCGCTCTCTTCTTGGACCGAAATCACATTCCCGTGTTTGTGAATAAAGATGCAAAGTTGCTGCGGCTTGCGCATGAGCACTTTCAGGTTGTCCAAAGTGCCTTCGTGCTGCCGTTTCTTATGTGCTTTGTCGCTGGGCCGACGAGTAGGCGCCGTGTCGTCGCCCGCAAATCCCACCGACCCCCGTCGCCCCGTCACGGTTGTGTTCCAGTAGCTCTGGTTGCGAAGCTGCCGAGACAGCATCGCACGCCCCTGGTCCTTCGCGTACAAGTCGTACCGGTGGCGGTTGATGTAGCTCTCCAAGTCCTTCTTCTTGTTGCCGTCCAACGGCCTGATCACCGGTACACACAGGAACGCGTGATCCTCGTAGTGCTCGTACTTGCACCGGACCATGTCATCGTGGTTCAGGCAGTCTTCCAACGCCAACGGATGCAGTTGAAACTTGATGGCGAGGCGGCGCAAGTTGATGTCGTCGACGCGCTTGAACCCGGCGACGTGGACCCACCGGACTTTGGCCCAGTGCGGCTTGGACGAAAACATGAACGACTGGAGGTTTGTCACCGGTGCGACCGTGTGGATTGACGTTGGCGAGTAATCGACGACGCGGAGAACCATGGCAGGCTGGACAGTGGTTGACACTAGGGGCTGCGACGGGAGAATATACAGCGACGACGTCGACGAAGTTGACGCCGAATACTTGGACGGAAACGTTGATGTAATGGTGGCGCCTTCTTGTGCGACGTACTCGGGTTTGAACAAGTGCGCTTGCTTGATCATCTGTACGACATGAATGAACTCATCCAGGCTCACCATTCCGTCGTGGTCCGCATCAATCTTCTGCACAAACTCGTCGAACGGGACATCTACGGGTGGAGAAATGCCCAACGCCAGCAGACCTTTGTGAAATGCATCGTACGACACCTTTTCCTCGCCTACAGGAGACTCGTGAACAGTCATGTGGCGGTTTGGAAACGCGAACCATGAGGTGCAAAGTGCCGAAACATGCGACGGAGGCGACCTGTGGTGACGTCGTAGAACGGATCCAGGAGGACCCCCAGCTCCTCGTTATCTTCGACGTCAAGTTGCTCAAACTCGGACCCGGCAGACAGCGACGATTGGCTCTTGGTGCGCACGACAACGCGAGCATAATCCCATTCCATTCGCTGAGCGTCTGCGACAGTAAACGCAGGAATCACGTTCGCGTTGTGGCTCCATCTTTCGTCGGTATGCGAAGCAGTGACTCCTGGAGGTGGCGAGCCAATGGCAACGCTGCAGTACGCCGGTTGTTGTGAGGTCGTCCCTGTTGTTGCTTGTGGAGTGAGCAAAGGAGTACTTGGATCCCAGTGGCTTCGTCCGCCGTCGAGGGGATGCTGCTTCGACGACGCTCGACGTTGCATGGCGTGCCGTTCCCGGTCACTTCCTGGCAGTCCGACTTGGCGTCGTGGATTTCTGCGATGGCATGTCAAAAGAGGCGGGCGATGTTCATACAAAACAACAGTATAAAATGGCGCGTCGAGAATACTCCCGAGATCCCAAAATATCAAGAAATGTTATAGATAGACAATTTTTCGGAATATATTTTATCAAAATTCTCCATGATAGAACATGAATGCCAGGGATGTCATGAGGCTCAGCCACGCTGCGGTACTCCGGGACGCATGCCATTTGAGCTTCTAGTTGAGCGGACCCCATCGACCAGTGCGCGAATGATGGCGGAGCGCACGGAGAAGGCAAATTGGTGATGGGGACATGAGAATTCCATTCAACGCAAGGTCACCACAAGCAATCGAGGATGCAAACCGAGGAGTAATCAAGGCGGTGGCGCGCCGTCGTCGGGTCGGCCGTGCGTTGGGCGAATGGAGCGTTCTTCGGGGGCCGATTCAGTTTGCCGACGTATTTTTCGTACAAGTCGATCGAGACTTGCACTGGGTTCCCTTGCGCAGTTGTCGGAAACACGGTGGCCGTGTCGACTTGCCAGTCGAGCTCAAAGGATTCCATTGCCGCCATCAGCGTCGGCATGGCCATTTCTTCCTTGGCTGCCCATGACCGGTGCAGTTCCTAATGCATCGATCAGCCGACGCCCCAAGCACTGTCGACAGCTGCAACGACATACCTGCGCCCAGAGCCGCCACCGAGGCACGTAGTACGACGCCACTAGGCCGCCCCACTCCTTGGCAGCGTAGTCTGTCAGTACGTTGTGGTTGTCATGTCCCCATCGCGTGATTTGATTCCGCGCTTCGTACTCAAAGTACGAGGCAGCGGCGGTGTCTCCCGGGCGCGCGAGCGCTCGTGCGTCGGCGATCCATGGCCCCAGCATGAAGTCTGGATGGGTGTTCAGCGCCATGTCCAAGTCAGTCATGCGCTCGAGCAACGCGTCCGCCATCGCCGTCACCTACCAAAACACCCACCTCCGTTCCATTCGTCATGTCGACGACTCGATCGCACTCACCTCGGCGAGTGTGGCACCGCCGCGTCCGACCAAGGTCTGCAGGCTCTCGTACGCTTTGAGAATGCCATCGCTCATGGCTTGCCTTGTGATGTCGATCAGGTCGTGTGTGAAGGCGTCGTCGCGCTCGAGGGACGGCGACGCCTCGACCGCGCCCAAGAACAATTCCCACGCAGATTGGATGTGCCGTGGGTCGTGTCTGAGCTCGGTCGGCATGAAGCTCGAATGCACCAAGTGCCATCGCGGCCGCAAGCACACAATGTCTTTGGTCACGCCGCCGTATGCGTTGCGCACGTCGTACACGGACGTTCGCAGAACGTTCCACGCACGTTCGACAAACGTGCGGTCGCCCACCACGTTGTACCGCGCGAGGGCAAACTCGTGCACGTACTGCGTGACGTTGACGGCGGCGGGTGCCCATGGCATGTGCAGCGCGAGATCGTACACGACGTAGTTTTGAAAGATGCCTTCCATGGTGAGGCCGACACCGACCATGGCGCGGGCGATGGAATTCGCGCGAACGGGCGCGGCCGCCACGGTTTCCAGGTCGCCGCGCATGCCGAGGCTCCCGCCAAAATTGTGCAGGACGCAGTATATCCACTGGTGGTGGAAAAATTCGCGCGATTTCTCCCACATCGGCGACACTTCGGCATACAAGTCGAGCACGATCAACGACTCGTACGGCAACGGCGCCAAGTAGTGTTCCATGCGAGGTAGCGTCCAGAACCTTGAAAACGAAAAGAGCCACCCTTGCATGAGCCAGACGGCATCCTTGTCGACCGTCTACACCGCGCATCAGAGCCCGCCGGCCGAGAACGTCGTACCTGCATGCTGCGCAGCACGGCCGACGACGATGCCGCCAAATACGTTGCCGTATCAAGCCGAGGGTCCATCTCGTTGTACGTGTCAGTTTGGTACACGTGAGCGGTAAACTTGTACATGGCCTGGTACGTCTTCAAGAATGCCGCGCCCAGCTGGACAAACAGTGCATCCGTGGGGTCAAGCAGATACACTTGGGTGTATGGCGCCCGGAATCCTGCCCACGCGTCGCTCCGGACGACTTTTGCCTGAGGGTACAGCTCGACCAACTTGGTTGGGATGTGGCCTGCAAACGCGGGCAGCGCCGGCATCATCCCGAACGCTTCCATTCGCGCCAGGATTTTCTGCTGCAGCGCGAATTGATCGTCAATAAAGGACTGAGGCAACGGCCCCTTGACCCAACTCCCTTGGATGTTGCCCATGCGCCCCCACGCGAGAAACGCCGCGCCGGCAAAAAAATCAGTCAAGTCCGTCACGTTGAACTGGGCGAACGTTGCTTGCCACACCTTTTCTTGTCCGGTGAATGCCAGCGGCATGTTGATGCCTGCAAAGAGCGAACGTGAGCGCAATGTGATGACGACGAGGGACGCGTCGAGCGAGGCAACACCGTCGATGCGCCGGAGGAGATGCAACCCCGAGAGATGGGGAAGCTGGTACCTTGCAATGCCATCCAGTCGAGATGCCGTTCCCATTTGGACCAAGACCATGCCCACTGGGAATAGCTGACCGTGCACACGTTCTGGTAATACGTGTACGGGGCCTGCCTCTGGAGACGGATGGGAGAGGACGGCAGCGGCAGTGTCGTCGGGAGGTGAAGAGCATGGTCTTCCCAGTCCGTGGACGTGTGAACAACCTGTCGCAAGTACCTACGGGGAAGGCAACTTGGATGTCCTGAACCGAGTAAGATGTGCGTACGATTTTAATCCGTAGGCCATCGCTGTGGCGCTGGAGCCTTCCAGAAGGACCTTCCCGCCATTTGTCGACACATGAGCGACATCGAGCCCTGCATTGGACGCGGGCAACACCCGCAATTCAAACTATGACAAGGTGTCATGGTGCGTTGACGACGAGATGGTATGGATACATCGGTACCTGGTTTAGGTACATTTCACCAAGGCGGCGGGAGATCAGACCTTGAACAGCCGAGATCGGATCATGCTTTGGCGGCGTCAGCGCGGCGTCTGCCACAGCGCAGAGTGCCAGGACGACCGCGCCGCATCTGCGCAGATCCAGCATGGTCATGCAATGAGATATTTGAACACTCGCACTTAATCGGACCGAGGATTTACAAATTCGACATTTCAATCGTGTGGGGTACAACTGAAGCAAGCGCGCGATGGGCGCCGTGCGGGCTGGTCGACGGTGCTGTGGAGGGATGGCTGCGATGGGTTGCCAGCCCGCGCGACCACATTCATGGTCGACGCCTGCTCGTATGCACGGAGCAACCGTCGAGTACTCGACGCGAGCGGTTTTGTAGACAGCATACTGTATCCCAACAAAAAGATAGCTTTGGAATTATATGCATGCATGGAGCGCGACAACTCCCATGTCAACTCGATCATCCCAGACACGCGCTCATTTAGACGTAGGATCCGTAGGCAGCGACCAACGCGTCCGGCTGGAAGTGGCGCCATGTCAAGATGAGTTCGTTGTAGTGTTCGGGGTGCGATCGTTGGAACGAAACGGGGTCCTACAGGCCCACACGCACGTCAACCCGCTTCCACCGTCTCAAGGAGGAACGGTCGTACCTCCGCAAAGCAGACAAAGATCGTATGCAGCGCAGTGATGACCAAGTTGGCCAGGATCATCGCCATGCTCACCCCCGCAATGAAGCCCAACACGCCAAAGATCACTACCGAATGCGTGAGCTTCCCATTTTCCCAATGCCCACGGTCGAGAAACGCGGGCGTTTTCCTTACCATAGCGAGTCGTGTCGTCGCCGCCGAATCCGGCGACCCAATCGGCCGGCGCAAATTTGGCGACAACCAGCCCAACCACGCACGTGAGCACACCGACGCCGAACGCGCCGATTGAGAGCGCCGTGGACGACAAGTCGTCGTTGATTACGGCGGTCCAGCCACGCGAATCAAACAGCTGCATCACAGCCTTCCCAGCCGTGCGGAAGTCAAAGCCGTAGATCCCGACGTACGTGTACGCCCACATGTTGAAGTACTCGACGAGGCTCTCAATGCAGTTCAGGATGCATTCCGCCAGGCAAGCCACGCACGCGAGCGCCGCGTTGTCGTCTTCCGCCGCCTTGTTCTTGATCGTGCGGACAATCTAGCGATTAAAAGGGTCAGGAGGAATCGTCCTAAGAAGACGACAAATGGGAAAAAATCCTCGGGATCGTTCCTCTGTCCACGTCGTACCGTGCGAAGCGCCTGCAACACGGCAACAATCAACGACCCAAAGCAAATGGACCCGAACGAGGACGTGAGCGATCGGTAGAGCGAGCCGGCGACAGCGCGGTCGGTGTGGGTGTTGTACCACCACGTGGCGACGGTGCCGGCGACGGTGCAGGTCATCACGTTTTGGATGACCTGCTGGCCCCAGTAGACCGATACGAGCAAGAAGAAAATCGCGACGTTGAAGCCCGTTCCACCGCACAAGGTCCCGTGCGATTCCTCCTTCTCGCAGTTGGGGTCCGCCACACGAAAGAGTTGGTACACACCGACTGCGCTGACCGACCACGTGATTAGCCACGCGACCTGGACAAGGATGAAGAACAGGGCCAAGACAAAAATCGACTTGTGCTTGCTCAACGCCACACAAGCAAGTTTCAAGTGTGCGCTAGCGAATGCAATGCGGTTCTGCACGGCGTTGATGTAGCTACAGGAGCATACAAGGGTGGACCGTCATGCGCCATGGCGAGAAAAGAATGGAAAAGGACACGTACCAAATGTTAATCGCGGCGCCGAGCAGGAAGAACAGCCCGACGAACGGATTCACAAACAACGACATGATGGCAAAGCCAAACATGAGGCCGACGTTCATCCAGAGTGCAAATCGAATCATGTTCTCTGCGCAAGCCATCAAGACTTGGATCCACAGCGCCGAGAAGACGACCGACAGCCCAATGAGGCTGCCACTCACGCCAAGAACCATAGTAAAGCTCTTCTGCGCGGCTTGCGACGGATGTTCCTCTTCAAAGTGCTTGAGGTAGTCCAGTCCCGACGTGAACTGCGAAGGCGATGAGTCCATCACGAGGAGGAGGAGGAGGGTCTTTCAGTCAAGAGGGCATCGTACCGCAAAGTACGCTATCGCGACGAGGTGGCCTACGAACAGAATCGCGAAAAACGCATCGTTACACTTCGGCGCAGGGGTCTCAAGGCGCATGGACTGCACGGGTGGGCTTCCGTGTCGGTGGTTGTTGCGCTGCTCCGCCGCATGCTTTCCAAGCATCGGCTCATGCTGCTCGCGCTGGTTGTACGTGTAGTTCATGGCCGCTTCGAATGCAAATTGAGCCACCACGGTGCAGTTTCTTCCATCATACTCCTTTCAAGTCAAATCCTACATTCCTGTACTGCGACAGTTATTCAACGGGGAATACCAACATTCCAAAGATAGAAGAATTTAATTCCTGAACGAGTCGATACAAACTACAAGGTAGTTGAATCCACACGACAAAATAGCGATTACACGAGTTGGAAAAAAGCACATACAAAACACGTGGTATTTCAATTGTGTCGAACGAATCTAGAAATTCGAGCGCTCAACGTTTCCACGACCTGATCATCATGACAAGCAGCTCCAGCAGCCTGCTGCAGTACTCCCACGTCATCTTGACGTGCGGCGACACCGACATGCCCTCCATCACATCGCTCGCCCCCATGACGCAGCAGCTCCTTGCGCAAGAGATCTTTCAATACGACTTTTCAAAGGAACGTGCCGTCATCGAGTCGTCAAACAGCCACTGGATGTCGCAGGACGCCGCAACGAACGACGAAGAGCTGGTCAAGACTGGCATGGCGATCTTGAATATGGTCGACCACCACGGTACCACGCCCCCTTCCCCAGAAAAGAAGAGTCGGGCTGGTCTGGATCGTCGAAACAGTGCCGAAGAGGCAGCAATTGCGATGGCACTTGCTGTCTCGCTTGAGGAGTACTAATCGTCAACTATATTGTCCACAGGTCTACTCAACACTTCGCTCAAATCGAGCACTGCATCAACGAGCACAACTTGGCTGCTTACTGGACGGCATTGCACGTGCCATGGTGTTCAGATTGAGGCCGCGCTCGCACTGCATCTGCGTTGATCATATTCATGTTGTTTTTCTGGAAAATAAAACATTGGGGGATATAATTGGAGAAAAGCTGAAAATTTGGAACTTCAAAAACGTCACTTTTATATTGGAATTTGTACGGAGAAATTCTCTGAAGAAAATTTTCTTGGGGTATTTCTCAAGTTCGTCCAACGAGTGGAAATACACTCACGGACAAAACTTAGGGAACACTCACATTTCATGGCATATCTCACGAAGTATTGAGAGTTGAGAGTTGCTGTTTGAGTATGATGAGCCAATAGCACTGAGGAAGAGCTAGTTATTGCTACCGGCGCGCAATTCGTCAGCATCGAGAACTTTCTATTCAACGTTCAATTTGTGGACCCAGACAAAATCAAGGAACAGAATTGACTATACAAAATCCAAGATAGTAAGAGTGTTTGTGAACCCATAGCGCGTGGGAAATCACTGTCAGTCGGCAATATGGGTCGAGAACAACTTACCGATGAGATGCGTGGCCGCATAAAGGGCCTTCGGGAGGCAAATTGGTCGTACCGCGCCATACGCGCGGTTACTGGCACGTCCGTCGCTGTGATTTCTCGCTGCCTGCGTCAGCAGGGGCGCAGCAAAAAGCAGCCTGGGAGACCTGTTTCTCTCTCCGAGCGGCAAATCCGACGTTTGGTTCGTAAAGATTGCAAGACTGGGTCAAGCGCCGCAACCTTACACAAGGCCTGCGAACTACCTTGCAATATCCGGACGACTCGACGAGTACTGCAGCGATGTGATCTGCTCGACTATACCAAAACGCAACATACCTTGCCGCTCGCGCCTGCGCACAAGCATTGTCGTTTCAAGTGGGCCATGCAACATGCCGAAAGTCCCTTCGACTGGTCGTGTGTGGTCATTTCGGACGAAAAGAAGTTCGACTTAGACGGGCCGGATGGTTACAAGAACTACTGGCATGACATCCGACAACCCAAGCGGAGCTTTGTCACGCGACAGCAAGGTGGCGGCTCCGTTATGGTGTGGGGTGCAATTGCGAGTTGCGGGAAAAGTGCTCTTGCTATCCACGCTGGAAAGCAAAATTCAGCTGATTATATATTTACACTGTCCGAGTACATGTTGCCGTTCGCTCACCTAAAGTATGAGCAATGTATTGAGTTTTGTATAGCAAATTCTGTTCCTTGATTTTATCTGGGTCCACAAATTGAATATTGAAAGGAAAGTTCACGATGCTGACGATTTGCGCGCCAGTAGCTATAACTAGCTCTTCCTCAGTGCTATTCGCTCATCATACTCAAACAGCAACTCTCAACTCTCAATACTTCGTGAGATATGCCATGAAATGTGAGTGTTTCCAAAGTTTTGTCCATGAGTGTATTTCTCGCGATCGTCCAAGTTGAAGTAAGATATTGTGTAATCCTAGTACATTCGAAACTGGAGCTCCTCGACGAAACGAATCGCGTAAGACCGAAGGCCGAGAACCTGCTTGAATACTTGATAAAACAAAAATAAAGAAGAAATATATTATATAAAATCAAGAAATCTATTAACTGTAAGCCAATCAAAATCATTGCCGTCAAATAGTTATAGCCAATCAAATCAAAGCACTTTCCCATGGACTGCACTGTCAGAAGTCAGTCTCCGAGTGACGATGCAGCGCACCTCACCACCACACAGATATCACACGCACTCGTCCCAGTCACCACCACAGGTCGATCTTGTCTCTGATACTCAACGGTCTACTGCGCATAGCACCCCTTCCCACAGTCCTCTTGGACTGTATCGCATGCGGCCAGGTTTTGTTGTCAAAGAGACCGTTTACGGCCGCGATCACAATGGCCGCAGATTGCCATTAGTGTTTGAAGGAAATTCTTGGGAGAACATCAGAGAACGTCTGTTTCAGTTTGTACGACCACACATCAAGGCACTTGCGACCCATGAGTCTGAACCACGAGTGCGGTCTGTGTCGTCGGACTCCCCAACGATAGAAAACTACGATTTGTTTGTGTCAATTTGTATGGGGCGAAACTATTTCAGGCCAACAGGCCCTGGCAACGCCAATCAATACCTGGCCGATCACGCCCACCAAATCTTCAATGTCGCATTATTTAAGTGGGGAAATCGCATCAACTCCGCCGCCGGTTTACAAGAATTTAACCTGCAGTGCGTGGAGCCACAAGTCCAAGACCGCGCTGGTGCGGCCGCAGAGTTATTGCAACAGCAAACTGTGGAGGATTTGAAGGCAAGATGGGGTGGAGTTTACTCTGGTTTTGAGGCAGTATGGCGAATGTGGGCGGCCATCATTTTGAAGAAGCCTGCGCATGAGCATGAATCCTTGGTGGAATCCCACCCACCAGTTGAAATGATCCATCTCTTTCAATCTGTTCCGCATGGAGCCCAAGTCTGCAATGAGTCTTTTCAACTTAGCCTTTCGTTTGCCCGAGAAGTTGTAAACTCCTGCATTGCCGACATTGCCGTTCTGCATCAAGATGCCACGAATCTCACCGTACGACTTCAATCATTACACAACACGTCGATGACAAAAAAGAGCGTCATTGACTGTGAAGGCATGGAAAGAGAAGTGCGGCCATTTAATGCCGGAGGTGGACTCGTCGAATTTCTTGGTAGAATTCCAACATGAATGATGTCGAGCATGAAGAAAAACACCATGAGAAATAAAGATCACATTGACTGCATTACTTTTTAGCCTTCTGCAACTGTAGCATTGCAAAAGTTATATCCCAATAGGCTGTCGTTTAGTGGGGATTCTTTTGCCGCATGAATTTGAGATAACAGCTTGGCTGGATCAAACCGCCCTTGGATTGAATAGCCGCAATGTTGGCAAATGCCGGACATGTCGTATCTTTGAAAGTGCACCATAATGCTCAAAATGTAGGCCAGCAAATCCTGGGTCGCGTTTTCCTTGTATTTGCGCCGGAACATTTTTAACCAGCCCAAAGACGTGTTCGATCGGATTGAAAAATGGCAAAAGATTAGGCACAATGCCTACAGAGCGCAAGAAGTTCACAATGTCGGAGTGACAATGGATACTGGAACCATCCAGAATCCAAACGGATCCTTTCGCAGGGTAAATTGAGCAACGACTTGCATGACCGGCACAACATTTGACAAAAGCATGGCGATCAAACGTGCCAACGGTATCAAAAACTTCGTTCACCCCATTTACGTCAATGAAACAGAGCAGCGATACACGTGGTTTTCTGTCAAACTCGCCGCGAAAACACAACCTATGTCCCTTCATGGAGTAGCCTCGCTTTCTTAACATTCCTCTCGAGTCGAAACTGACTTCGTCGAGGGAGACAAGATTTTGGTGCGTCCAATCAATTGATGACAGCTCGCTGAAGAATCGAAAGACATCTTCTTGGCGAACTTGCATTGCACGACGCTCTAATACTTTCCATGTGTGCCCGTAGCCGTGTATAATGCGCCAAATTGTGGTGACGGAGATGTACTTCTTAAAATGGGTTTCGAAAGCACGTTTTGCCTCGTCAAGGTAGGCAATAGGGTTTTGCTGGTAGTATCGGACAACCCACTGTTTTTACAACCCACTGTTTCTGCTCGTCGCTGAAGGCACGGACTTGACATCTTTCGTTCGAAATCGGATGAGTTTTCATACCGCTCAATCCCCCTTCAGATCGTGGACACAGACTTGTTGAACAGCCGTGCGACGACAGAGCGCTTGGCGCCAAGGAAGTAGTACACATAAAGTGCGTGCATGACAGTGTTCTTCGATGCATGAGTGTGCTGAACGTGCCAGAGGATCATTCTTTCTTGCATTGTGTGTCAGAGAGATATACTGTGCATTGAATACTATATTGGGGACAAGATAATCCCAGCTGAGACGTTTTCAAGCGGTTTTGGCCAATCGCGTCGCCAGTCCAGATTTGGGCGAAATTGACAATATTTATATTCCAAATCATCCATCGCGGCATGATTGGCTAAAAGTCTCATGAGCACAATGAGCATGAGTATCGATCGAAAGTCGCTAGGTCGCACCGCTCGGTGGCTGTCGCGCTCGGTGTGGCGTCGTGGACGGCGAATGCGGTCGCTGGTTGCTGGGGGCCGCTGGAATTTTGAAATCGAGAGGACAAAACCCGCCTGGGACCTGCGTCCACAGTTCATAAGCACATGAGATTTTTAGCCAATCATGCTTCCTTCGTTGGACGGAATATAAAAATACATTCAACTTGGACGATCGTGAGAAATATTTTCATTATTTGGACGACCTCAAGAAATCCCCAAAAATTCTTGAGCACGCTGGGCATAAAGTGCCCAATTTCAATTTATAGCACCCCCACAACAAAATACAACACCCGACAAGATGCGGATTCCGCGGGTGGACTGCTTCAGCCCGACAGCGAGTCGGCAGTTGCGCCAGGTGCTGAGATAGCGACGCTTCCTCCTTGAGGATCTCATGATTTCCTGAAGGCATGCATGGATGTCGGGTTCTTCTACCTCGAGGGGCATGGCATTCCCACGACGTTGCAAGCCGCCGTGTACGATCAGATGAAACAGTTCTTTCACCTTCCCGAGACCGAGAAGCAGAAAGCCCGTGCGGACAAGAACATGCGCGGGTGGGCACCCATGTACGAGGAAACGCTGGATCCTTTGCACCAGTCGAAGGGTGACACGAAGGAGGCATACCACGTGTGCCGTCCGTCGTTGCCGGACGAGGTCCACCTCCCGCTGCACGACACGGAGAACGTGTTCCCAGACCCCCAAACGCTCCCTCAATTCAAATCCATCACGACCGCGTACTTCGACGCCATGAGCGCTCTTGGCCTTCATGTGGCGCATTTGTTTGCCGACGCAGCGGGATCACCAGGATTCTTTCAACCCCCCGGCATGTTTGATCGGTAGGAAAGGCATATCTCGACGAAGCAATACTTCATCAACACCGTGCAGGCCCATGGCTGTGCTGCGGATGCTTCGGTACAATGCCGAGCGGTCCGATGTCGAGCAAGGCGTCATTGGCGCTGGTGCCCACTGCGACTACGGTAAATGATGTGTTGCGCTGTCGGCCCATTCAAATCGCAACGTCGACTGAAAGGACTGCTCACGCTACTGTCGACGGACACGGAGCCAGGGTTGCAGATCCGTCATCAAGGTGCATGGGTCGATGTGCCTTATGTCGAGAACGCGTTCATTGTCAACGTCGGCGACTTGGCTGGTACGCATTCCTTCCACGACAACGGGCTTCACGGACTGGCATAGAGCGATGGACGAACGGTCTGTTCAAGTCGACCGAGCACCGCGTCGTGAACATGACAGGCAACGAGCGATACTCCATACCGTTCTTCTTCGAGCCCAACTTTAACTGCAAGGTGGCTTGCATTCCATCGTGCGTGACGCCGAAACGACCTGCCAAGGTACACGACCCCGTCCTCCATTTGAAACGACCGCTCTCATCGTCACGGGGAACAGTACCCAGAGATCTTGGCAGGGGAGAACCTGCTTCAGAAGTACAGAGACACCCATGCGAGCTACGCATCGTGACCTCGCGGCGCGTCCGCCGCCCACAAGATCGTAGAAACCGACTTCATCCGCATAACATTTTGAAATCTTGAACTCTGTATCCGGATATCTCATGAAACCGCAAACGGATGCACGAACGTGGCAATCGTCATCTCGAATTGGATGCCCACGATGCCAGATCCATGGTTCTTCCACCGCGTCCATGAAGGCGTGCGCGAAGTGTTTGAGCAGCGCCTTCTCACAGACGTGACGCTGTGCGTGGGCTCGAAGCGCATCCGAGCCCACCGCCTTGTCCTCGCCCTCCACAGCCCGTACTTCCGCGCCATGTTTACGATCGGAATGAAGGAATGCCACACGAATGAAGTCCACGTCGACATGGTTGACACCCAAGCGATGGATTCGATTCTCGAGTACATGTACTCGGGTCGCGACGTCACTCTGGACGGAGGCAACATGTGGCCTCTCTTGGCTGCGTGCGACCTCTTTGACATGGATGTACGAACGCCGACGATGACGATGCACTCTTGACCCTGACCCCGCAGGTTCTTGTGGACGCGTGCTGCGCCAAGATGGCGTTGGAGCTGCGACTGGACAACTGCGTCAACATCTTGGCCTGTTGTGACGCGTTCCAAGGGCGGGAAACGTGTGCGATTCTATGCAGTGTGGCGTCGACGTTCGTGACCACATACTTCCATGCCATTTACATGACGGAATCGTTCCAAAACCTTCCCGTGGCGCTCTTGCAATCGATTCTTACCAGCCCGATGCTGTGTGTCCACGACGAGCTCGACGTTGTCACTGCGCTGCTACATTGGGTCGAGTTCGACTCCGCCAATCGACAAGGTCATCTGAAGCCGCTGTTGAATTCCTGTGTGCACCCTAATGCTCTCAACTTCTCAGCACCCGCATGGTCACACCTCTCTGCTCGCTTACGCTGCCACAGCATCCATCAGTGGCCATCCGTTCGAAAGCCAACCCGAGGCTTATCCATTGACGCGCGCCCCGACACGACGAGGTTGTCCACGATCCCGGTTATCGTAGCTCTCGGTGGTGTAGCTGGACGGTCGATCTCCCGCTCCACCGAGTACTTGGACGCCATCTCGAATTCGTGGAAGTCTTTTGTGCCTATGCAATGCCGGCGCGCTCACTTCAGCGCCGTCGCCATCGGCAACCAACTTTACGTCCTCGGGGGATACACCACCCGTCGCGCTGTGGATCCTGATGCATCCATGCAAACGCACTTGAACTCAATGGACGTGCTGCACCTTGGAACGCGGCAGTGGTCCAAGGCGCCGCCAATGGCTCACGCCCGCAGCTACCTCGGAGCAGTCCACGTCGACGGCTACCTCTACGCCATCGGTGGGTTCGACGGCCGGCGCCACTTCGCATGCACCGAGCTATTCAGTGTGGCCACTCGTACGTGGAAACATGGGCCTCCAATGCACCATAACCGCAGTGGGCTCGCTATCGCCGCCGTCCATGGTCGAGGCAAGATTGTAACCTGCGGTGGGTTCGACGGCGCGCGCCACCTTCGATCTGTTGAAGTGTTGGACACTGCGACGAACCAGTGGTCACTCGTGGCCTCCATGCATTCCATTCGCAACGGCGGCGCCGCTGTCGCTCTCGCGTCAGGCTACATTTATGTATTTGGTGGCGAAGTTGCCCACGGCAGCCGCATCACGACGGGAGAGATGTACCATGTTCCGTCCAACGTATGGGCACCGAGCGCGCCACTTCCTGCAGGAGTCAGCGGCCATGGCGCGGCGCTGTGGCAGCATCAGTATGTCTACTCTATCGGCGGCTCCACTGACACCGAAGACGCTGGGGCGACCCAAGTCGACTGCGTCCAGCGGTTTGACGGGGTGACGCACAAGTGGACGCCCCTGCCATGGCTACATCTCAATCGCCCCCGAACAGGGCATGCTGTGGTAACAATCGAGGTCGACCCGCGCTGGTTCATGCAGCGTAATGTAGAGAAAATGATGTAGAAATTGTCGCGTCGTGCTCGGAGCTGCTGAAAACGCAATGTCGCGTGGTGGGCTCAATGGAGCTGCTGGTAGAATGGTAGGTGAGGACGTTGGTCCAGGGCGTGGCGACCACTCGTCGTGCGAAGTCGCAGGCTCCAAGAGTAGGAACGGTGTGGAGGGCCAAGTCTTGCCGCATGCTTGCTGATTCTCTGGCATCGTGTGGCGGACGTTGTGTCGATGCAAGTAGGTGTATTGCTCTGGTGCATTCGCCACGATTCCAAGGCATGTGACCATTTGGCGACTAGTAGATCACGAAGCGAGCGAATGACGCAGTCGCCATCCAGAGGTGGGCGGGGCCAACATGACGATGTATCATGCCGTCTACTCGTCTCGAGACGACCGAAAGAAAGCCCTTGTCGCTCCAGCGTGAACGGATATAAAAGTTGTGCCGCGAGTGGAAGTTCGCAACAATTCCGTCGCACTGTGCGTTGGGGATGCTCAGAATAGGAATGGCGAGGGTCCTTGGAAGGCCGCTGTTGTGGCAAGCTAATGTCCGCCTTCTCGGACGTTGCAAGCGTGACGTCTGACCAAGCGTTCGATCGACACTAGCGACGAAATTGAAAGGGGTCGACTGCCGTATAGGCGGCAAGTTGAGGTCGCCGATTTCGTGTGTGGTGATAGAAAAGCCTATGTTTTGAATGGTTGAGGTCCCTCTGCTTACGTCAAGAATGCCAGCTCGGTCGGACTTTATCGTTTGCAGATATAGTGATTTCTAAAGAGTTGTAGGTGCTTGCGACCACATCGGATGGAGAATAGATTGAATAGTTTAACAAGAGCGGAGTTGGACTAGCTGACAAGCGCCAGGTTTGTTTCCACTGCACTCGCGGAAGGAGACGGGAAGGCAGTGGCAAACGCTGCGTCAAGCACGTGATGGGATCGAGAAACCTGCACGACGAATTCATCGAGCAATGCCACGTCTTCGGCGAGGAGGAAGCCGTCGAGTGTGCTAAACTCAACATCTTCGTGTGCAGGGCCGTCACCGACAAGTGTGCGCGCGTCGTTCAGCCACTGCGAGGCGCGATACCTGGTGGACGCCGGCATTTCGTACAGCTCGATGGCGACGAGAGCGCGAAACTTTCGCCGCAATAGGTTCAGTCTAAAGCGACAATCCGCGAGGACGCGGTCCACTGCGGAGTTTTGCAGCGCAAGCGGCTGAGCAGCAAGGCGGCGGAGGCGGCGATCGATCGCGGCGAGTTGGACGCTGGTGCGGTTCATCTCGCGAAATGTCAAGTTGCAACATGACGAAAAATGTGCCTGCAATTCCAAACCAAACCGTTACTCTCCGGATGATGTTATCCGGATTTCTCCGTGTCCGAGGAGGTGGGTTTGGGTCGAGGCCATGGCCACAAGCACGCATGTTGCAGCTCCCGTCTCGGCTGCATATCCATCGGTCGTTCACGCTGCGGCGTGAAGGCGCCAGGTCATGCCGACCATGTGCCACCGACGTTTTCGCAAGGTACTGGAATTTAATTTTCGAGGGTCGCACCACATGTCTCTCGATCTCGAACGAATCTGACGAGGATGGCGCCAGGGTGCTGGATCGCGACAGATACATGGCGCCACGAAGAGCGTCCGATGGCCGCAGAAGCTTGGGAAGGGTGTCACGTCCCAGATAAACCTGGCACAATCCATCGAGATGGCGACATGACGTGGCACTCCAGGCGCTCGCCATTCAGACCTCGACGTCTTTCAACGGCATGCGCACGTCATTAGGGATGCACCAAGCCAGCGACTTCACGAAAGTTGTGCTTTCGACAGTTCAGGGTTAAGAGTGACGTCGGGCGAATCGATGGCCCGTCCGTCGCTAACCTCAACATGATGCTTGTACCCCTCGTCGTAGAGCGTTATATACCAAGAAAGCGCTGTCATGGCCATGGCGACGGAACGCCGCTTGTCTAGACGTCGGTTGGCACGGCGGCCAGGTATTTGATGCGTTGGAGCGGCAATGACCAACGGGACGGTCCCGCTCGACGCTTGCACAAATTCTCAACATGACAACGTCGCAAAGACGTTCACAACAAGCTCGCTCGCTCGAGCCGAAAACCTCCCATGTAAATAGCGGGAGCAAGCAATACTTCCTATGCACGTTCTAGTCCAGCGTTCGGTGTAAAATGGCCGCGGTTGTGGATAGCCCACGTCTACCCAGCACAGTTCTCCGTCGACAATACGAAGAACTGCCTTCTTGACTCTCCTCGTCATACTTTGGCAATGAGAGCCACCGCTTGAGCCGCCGTGATCGAATGGAACGAACGCTAGACGAATGAACGGTTGCGCGGAGGTGGTAGCGCAACCCAAGTTGCTTGGCGATTCGTACATGCAGCGGGTTACGCATCTTGGGGCTTCGGTCGTGCTCGCGCCGGGGTGACGATGCATGGAGCGGGAACGCCAAGGCGTCATGAAGGGGGGTAGCAATAAGCCGAAAGATGGAACGTGCGTAAGGCCAAGACGAATACCGAGTCCATGTGTTAAGTTAAAAGCGGGTACGAAATAGAATAGGAACAGAGCCAACGATACTAGCTCACGAGGGTCGGTTTTTCCACCGCTGCAGTCGCGGAAGGAGTCGCAAGGAAGGCTGCGGACGCGGCGGTCTTGTCAAGCTTGTGAATAGAATGGGCGATCTGATGGACGAACTCGTCCAGCAAAGCTGCATCTTCAACAAGGAGGAAGCCATCGAGCGTGCTGAAGTCCACGTCATCGTCTGTCAAGTCCATCGAAAGCACGTTGCGGTCATCTGTTATCCATTGCGAGAGCCGTGCGTGCAACTTGTGGCTTGTCGGCAAGGTTTGCAGCTCTTGCGCGACAAGCGCTCGATACTGTCGTCGGAGGTCGTACAGTTTATGTGTGCAGTCAGCGACGACATGGTCCATGGCGGTATCCTGCACGACATGTGGCTGCTGGACGAGCAGACGGAGGCGGCGGTCGATCGTGGCAAGTTGGACGCCCGTGCGGTTCATGTCCCTGGCCGCAAGAAAATTTCAAAATGAAGATCTCGAAAGTACACGAAACTCCTACGCTTCCGGATATTATCCGGCCTTTTCTCGCTCGACTCAGTCTATACAAAACCCCAGTATAATTTCAAAACGCCTGAATCTGTAACGACCCGGTGCACGGTCAAGCCATTCCGCGCTGTCTGGCGGCCGTCGGCGCTACCTTGTTCGCATATGCGTACGTTTGCAGGGCTGACTATGCCCTGGGCGTGCTCCCACGCGCGTGTTTGGGGTCCCCAGAGACTCCATCGCGTCGAGACGCAGCGCATACTGAGCAACGTGTGTAACACAACGGTGTCCGACCGTGCTGGGTTCGAAGCAGGAACGGTGCGGATGCCTGTCGGATGCAACGTGGTGTGCGGACGGGATCCTCGGATGTCGCCGGTCCTCTCACGAACGTGGTGACACCATCCCCTCGAGACGAAGACGCGTGCCCCGATCGACACGGGTACGACGGCCCAGAATCTTGCCACCAACCACCCGTTACGTGGCATGACGAGAGCAATGCGACGCTCGAACTCGCGGCTGCGGACTGGTCAAGGCCAAACGTCGTGCCGTGCTGACCCGTCGTCGTCAGCTCGTCATGTCCCTCTTCCAGCGAAAAACGCGCGGCGAGGAAAGGGAACTACTGTACAGGGCCACCACAAACGTTGCTCCGTCTTTGGGATCGCCACAGTACACGTCCGCCACGCCGCCGATATACACGGCGCAGAGTTTGCTGCTCACTGCATGCATGAGGATGGGGACGGAGTGACGACTGGCCATGGCAATCGCGGTGCCACCAAACGTTGTGATCTTTCCAGTAGGTGTCAAAACAGTACGAAATTTTTGAATTATGGCGTCAAATACACAGCTTCGACCAGAAAAATTGGCAAAACATCAAGAACAAAATGAAATCACGTGAAATGCTTTGACATTTTTTGAGCGAACATGCGACAATTCGATGGGGATTTCTCAAGATCGTCCACCGCGTCGAAATATTTTTTACGATCGTCGACGTTGAACGTTCGTAAGGTATTTTTATTCCAAGTCGTCCATCGCGGCATGATTGGCTAAAAGTCTAATGAGCAGGAAGACGCTACAAACCAACCATCATGGACTGGGTGCACATGAGTATAGATCGAAAGTCGCTGCGTCACACCGCTCGGTGGCTGTCGCGCTCGGTGTGGCGTCGTGGACGGCGGGTGCGGTCGATGATTGCTGGGGGACGCTGAAATTCTGGAAGGAGACGACTTAAGCCCAACTTGGACGAACTTCCAAGGAATTTTACCTCGTCAGACTTTTAGCCAATCATGCCTCGATGGATGATTTGGAATAAAAATACCTCACGAAAGGTTAACTTGGACAATCGTGAAAAATATTTCGACTCGGGGGACGAACTTCAGAAATCCCCATATTCGATCAAGTTTTTTTGACGATATATTTCGTCCGCGAATATGGATAGTCCGTGAAATGAACACAAAAAAGTGACAGTTTGCCAAGAAAATGTCGAAACAAAGATCGCGGCGGTGGCGGCAAAGCCCTCTCACCTTCTGATCGCTCTGCCGTGATTCCCGAGACCGTGCGGCGCCGAGAAGCTCCCGTCCCCTCATTCCAGGTGGGAGGCGAGTACTGCAAACTCGCCGACGTATTGTATTTCACTTCTCAGCGACCCTCTGCCTCTCTTCAGCACCTGGACGTAGCATCGATCGTGTGGTGTATATACAATGGTCGTGGAACGTCGCTACGTATCCTTTACGGCACAGGGTCGAGCTCAGGGAGGCGGCAGTACGCACACGCGCCATCGCGGAGGTACTCGAACTCAAAGTCGTCCTCGTGGAAAAACTTGCGGCAGGCAGGGCTCAAGTGGACCTTGATGTCGGGGATCATGTTTTTGTAAAACTTGCACCGGAGCGCTTTCGTCGGGTACCGAACCACGAACACTTCATTCGGCTTGAGCGCGGCCAGGATCTTGGCGTCGATCTGGAGGACTTTGTAGCCGGCGCCGCGCGCTATCGCCTGGCGATTCAGCGCCTTTTCAAACATTTGCGACCCCGACAGGACGACGGGTTTGTCTGCATGGTCAGGGTCGTTGTCGTCGCCAAGCCGCATCGACTGCATGTTGCCCGTGTCGGTGGTTTTCCACGGGTCGCCGGCGCTGCTGTCGTTGTTGTCGCCCACGGACGGAAGCACCTCGAGCAACGCGATCGCTTCTTCGTCCGTCAGGTCGGGCGTCGGTTGAAACTCGACGAGCGGCAACGTGTCAAACGACGCGAACGAGCGAACGAACGGATGGCCAGTGTGCACGCAGACATCGCCCGTCCCGTTCGGATTCAAGAGCGGATTCGTCGTCGACGACCGGTAGTCGATCGGGAGCAACTCGTCCCGGTCCGAGTACGGCTTGGTCTGGAGCGTCATGCTCGTGACGTCGACGGTGTTTTGCCACTCGGGGCGCACGCGCATCTGGTGCAAGCGCTCGTACATTTGCCGCGCGAGCTTGAATGCTTCGAGTTGCTGCGCATGTTGGGCCAACGTAAACACAACGCGGGCGACCGATACCCCCGGCGGCGGCGCCGCCGCCATCGCTTTCGCGCTGAGCGTGTTGAGCAGAAACTGCGACGCGTGGAAAAGCGTCTCAGGGAGAAGCGTCGTGAACGGCTCGTCCGTGTACGCAAAGATGACGCTGTACGCAAAATACACGTCGGCGCACGTTTCATGCTCGAGCGCGGCGCGAATCTTGGCCTTGTCCGACTCGGTCGTTGCTACAACCACCGTGAGATGATGCTGGTGGTGGCCCTCGACGACGCACCGTCGGGGCTCGTCGCCGCCACGCACGCGAGCAACTCGTCGCACAACCGCCAGTGAAAGTACGACGCGTCTTTGAACCGCGTTTCGACGACCGCCGACGCCACAAGTTGCTCGAGCAACTTGATGCACTGGTCCGGGCGACGCGCCGACGTGTACGCGGCCAGCGCGTCTTCGTATCGATCCTGCGACGCCAGCCATTCCGCATACGGCACGTACACGTCGGCTACGTTTTGGATCTTGTCCTTGTGCTACGACGGAATGCGTCGTTGCCGGCGGCGCCTCGACCGCCACGTACCTTTTGGGCGAGCCGCACCGCTTCCTCCCAATCTTGGCACGCCAGGTGCATTTTCATCAACGCGTCAAAGTCGCCAATCTACATGGTGACGTTATCGCACCATGTCGTGATCACGTCATCGGACCTTCAAGTACACGTCGCGGCACTGCTTGAACTTGCCAGCGTGCAAGAGGTACTCGGCGCACATCGAGAGGACCTTTGGGTCGCAGTCTGGGCGCTGGACAACCTCCATCAAGTCATTGAACCATCCGCGCGCGCCCATGATTTGCACGGCCTACATCCCTCCGTCGTCAGTCGTCCGGGTCGTCGCGCGCCGACCTTGGGGACGTTCCCAGACGCCAGGTACATTTCGGTCGCGGCGCGCCAGTCGTGCACGTCTTCAGCCCACTTGGCTTGGTCCTGGACGAGCTGCTTGACATCGATCGACTTGGACGCGGCCGCGTATTTCTTTGCATCGTCCCACATCCGTAGGTCGCTAAAGAGCTGAATCGCTTTCGTCGCTTCGTCGTAGTCGCCGAGAAGCTTGGCGGCCATGTGAAACTTGCCTAGAGCCACGACCACGATCAGGATCACGGGGGCCGCATCCCCTCTCCGACGCCACCACCGAAACAGGAGCGCCGCGTACCTTGATACGCCAAGATTTCAGCGAGAACGATCGCTTTGGACTTCTTGTCGACGTCGGGCGACGGCGCGCTCAGGGTTTGGCTCTTCCGCGTCGCTTCGATGTGGTGGACGAGCTCGATGTACCGAATGTCGCGCACACGGATAAAGCCCTTCCGCGCAATGTCAAAGTCCATGTTCTTGAGGGCTTCCCACGCGAGGAGGCGCCAGTCGCTCTCGGTGACGCCAAGGCATGCGACTTGATACGCGAGACCAAACTCCTTTTGCTCGACGTACCGATAGAGCGGCGCCGATTGCGGCACGTCCATGGCCTACGCCGCCGCCATCCATGTCATCGCTAGAACGGGACGGCGGCACGTACTTGGACGGCGAGGGCGTGGAGGCAAAACACTTTGGAGCCTGTGAACCCGACGACAAACCCTTGCATGCGCTGGGCATGGACGGGAAAGTGGCCCGTCTTGATCTTGAGTTGGTTCTGCCCCGCAAAGCACAGCATGTCGTCAAACTCGGTGTTCCAAGCGACCGAATTCGCCCCCTTCTCTTCATACAGAAGCTCCTTCGTCACCTGCGGTCGGCGGATGAGGAGCCGTCCGCGACTTCTCTTGCCACGTCCGCCGATGGCAACGTACCAAATTGTACACGAGGCACGTGTTGGTATCGTCGACGACGGCGAGCTTTTCGCGGCTACCACGGCCATGTTAGTCTTGCCAAATCGCCGCCGCCACGTACTTGACGGAAATGTCGAGGCACACGATCGCGTTCGACTGCTTGATCAATGGAATCGGGAACGGATTGTCGAGAAAGATCTGGAGCACAGAGCCGTCTTTGAGCCCGACCAAGAGCCCTTCCTTGCCCTTGGCGCCGCCCGTCACCGTGATGTACCGAATCGGCGATTCCAACACCTACGAGCCACCCGTCGCGACGGACCCTCGCACGACCGCGTACCCATTCGCGCTCCTTCTTCCCGGCAAAGTTGTACTGTTGCAGCTTGCGTTGCTGGCACAAGATAAAGTGCAGCGACGCCACAACGAGCAACGAGCACGGCAGGTCTTTCTGGATCCGGTCGCGGACGCGGTAGTGCATGTCGTACGAGCTCTCGTTGGACAGCTCGTAGATGATGATGCGGTCGCTGAGCTGCACGGCGAGCCGATCGCGGTACACCGCGATCTTCTTGACAAAGTCGCGCGTCTTGATGCGGACTTTCTGCACGAAAGCGCCACCGCCACATCAGTGCGAGCGCAAGACCGACGTACAGACCGATCTGCCCATGGAAACCACACCCATCGAGACAAAAGTTGGCATCACGACGGCGATGGACCGCACCACAAACACCAAGGACGCAAAAGCCTCACGCAGCAGACACACACACAACGCCCGATGCCAACGGAATCGAGCGAGCCACACACACACACGATGCTCTCAGTGCGTACCTGCTCCGTCATGAGGTGCTGGACGATGACGTCGGTCATGTTTTCGCGGTACGAGTACCGCTCTTGGAAGATGCCGTGGACCGTGCCAAAGTTGAGATGGTACGATGCCACCGTGCCGTTGTCGGTCCCGACCGCAATCGTGTTGGCTTTCGGGCGCGCCTTGACTGTCCACACCCACGCCGGAACTTCGCAGATGCTGCACGAAACACAGCGCGTGAGCCTCGACCTTCGTCGCCATCCCACACACACACACACGTACTCTGAAAGGAAGATGCCTTCCTTCGTGTACAAGCTCGCCTTTCTGTTTGACCCAGCCACGAGAAGGTACTTGCCCTTGCTACAGTCGACGTCAGCCACTCGATCGCAACCCGACACGTTTGTACTTGAAAAAGCTGACGCAGCACGGATCAAAGGTCAGCTTCCGGTCTTTCCCGTACTGCGTTCCGTTGAACTGGTAAAAGCTGAGCGTGCGGTCCCAGCACCCCACGGCCAAGATGTCGGTCTGGTCATCGCGCCCTGGACTCCAGCTCAACGTCCAAACGGGCGCCGTCCGCTCAATTGTGACCTTTTCCCCGCCTTGCTTGTCGCGGATGAGAATCTGCCCGTTGAACATGCCCATCGCCAAGTACTCGCCGTCAACGCTCCAGCTCGCACTGAGGATTTTGGACACGACCTGGGCACGACATGTGACGATGCCGTCGATCGGCCGTGAAGGGACGATGCATTACCTTGTGCTTGGCAACGGACTTTTGCTCGGGCGACCAAAGCCCGAAATCGGATGCCGTGCAGCTCGCCAAACACTGCGACTGCGGGTTGTACGCGACCTTTTGGATGCTGTCGTTGTGCGTGTACTTGAGGATCCCTTCGGCTTTGTCCGTCCAGATGATCACGACGTTGTCGGCACCCCCCGACGCGAATCGCTTGCCATCATGCGCGTAGTCGACCGTGTACACCGTGTCCTTGTGTCCTGCGTGCATTCACACGGGCTCGTTAGTCGCGAACGTCGCCAACTCGTACCCTTGAGGGAATGCAGCAACGTCCCGTTCGTCGTGTCGTAGATCATGACGCGGGTGCCGATCGCTGCCACCAACTGGGTCCCGTCTGGATGGTACGCAATGTCTTGCACCACAACCTTGACGCCATTCCGGTCGGGGACTTTATCCGACCACGCCAGCGACGTCCGCATCGCTCCAAAGATCTCGCGACGCTTCACAATTCCCAACGTGCGTCGAACTTTAACCGGATACATGCCGATTTATCCGGATACGTTCCCTGTGCGACGGGAAGAATACATCCTGGCCGACGGTGGGCTCGATGCCGCGAATGCCATGCAGCCCTGCAGTCTCCGAGGGGTATGCCTGTGAAGAAGGCAGCGCTGCGGCCATGAAGTAGACGTGTTGGCGACCTCGCAGTGACGCCTGTGTGCGTGAAGAAGCGACGTTGTCTGTGCATCGGGCCGAGCTATCCTGCCACCGTGTCGTGGTGTGGTTTCGTTGTACGGCATGCGTGGAAGCTGTCGCCTATGTGCCGCCTCAAAACACCCCATGGGACGGCTCGACACTCCCCGAGGTGGGGAGTGTCGAGCCGTCCTGTGGGATGTGGCTGTGTGGACTCGTATTGGCGGCAACTCACCCTCCAGCAAGTTTACGCACTTGCGCTCAATATCCGACGAGCCCAGGCATGATGTTGTGGAAGCGAATTCGTGAGCTTCCCCTTGTGGAGCGGGACGGCCGCCTGTGAAGAGCTGTCAGTAGCGGTCGCCGCCCGTGGCCCGTGGACTCGACGGCACAATGGTCGACGATGGCAATTTGAAGATCTGGGGCGGGAAAGGAGCGGCGTTGTTTGATTGGCTGCTGAAGGGACAAACGCGATTTGATTGGCTTCAGTTTTGAATGCGGCCCCATGATTGGCGAAGAGCACGAACCAATGGGGGCATGCAATGTTACCAGGTGGAGTTCTATTCCGCGGAGAAAATTACCCATACGACAATCAAGTGATCGAGGCATAATAAAATAAGAGGACAGCTCAGTCCCACATCCGAAAGAATTCGCATTTTCAAACCCGGCGATCGGCATGACGACAGCGGCGGGCGGCCTCAAGCAGCGCTCGCTGCACGATTTCTTCGCCAAGAGCGTGCGCACCCCCGACTCGATCTCGAAGCGACTGGAGCTTGTGGACGAAACCGACTCGGACATCGAAGCTGCTGTTGCGAACCTTGACAACAACGACGATGAAATGAACGTCACATACGACGATGCCGACGACGACGCACAGACCGACTTCACGTTACCAAAGCGCATTTCGTTCTCGCCGAGTCAGTGCAGCGAACCCGACGGAGAACCTAGCTGCGATCCAGATGTGGCGTCGAGCCAAAAGCAGCATCCATGGAGTGACGACTTTGCGCCACCGAGTTTCTCGCAGATGTACAGCCAACAATCGTTCTGCGATTTTTCAACGCCGCAAGACCAGCCCGTCGTGCATATGTCGCATCCTCGATCTCCCTCTCCGATCAAAAAGCGGCCACGGACGCTTCCCACCTTCCAAGGGCTGCCGTTCCTGGACCCGCCATCCACATCCACAGCAGTCACGCCCACGGCCGGTGGCCAGGTTGACCACGAAACCAACAGCGAAGCTTGCAGCCTTGGTATGGCTTCCCCTCGTCCTTGGTGTCATGCTTCACGTCGTCTCTTCAATGTAGCCGTCGAGTCTCCCCGCGGCCCGTCGCCGCCGTTTGCCCCCACTCTGGCTTTCATGTTGGATGCTTCACGCATCATGTGTACCCATGACTTACCTCGACCACCTTCTATAGGACGACGCCATTCGCCGACATCAACCAAAATCCATTCGCCCCGGTCACATCCACCGAACGCAAGCGAAAGAAGAAGCACTCGGCACCTCCACGTACGCCATCCATCTCACGTCGAGCACGTCCCCATTCCGTCCATGGCGCTAGTGTGGCTTGGCGCAGCTACGGCGTCCAAGTACCTCCACGACTTCGTCGAGCGCGAAGTGCTCGGATCCGGCTCGTTTTCGAAAGTTTTTAAAGTGACCAAGCGCTTCGACGGATGGACGTATGCCATCAAGAAGAGCAAGCGGCGTTTCCGCAGCGCGTCCGACAAGTGAGCAATCTATCCATGCTTTCCTCTCTCTTGCTTGACAAACGCAACGATGGCCAGGCAGCGCGCGCTGCGCGAGGTCCATGCGCTGGTCGCACTCAGCGACAGCCGCCACATCGTGCGGTACTACGACGCGTGGATCGAAAACGAACTGCTTTACATCCAACTCGAGTTCATGCACGGGTGCTCCCTCGCGACCTTTCTCGGCGATGCCACCCACGTGAGCGAAGCGACGGTGCGCAAAGTGCTCAAGCATCTCGCGACGGTAACTACGTCCATGGGATCGCGGAACCCTGACAGGCAGCACAGGCGCTGCGCGACATGCATGCGATGAAGGTTGTCCACATGGACGTCAAGGTCGACAACATCCTGAGGCACCCGACGTCAGGAGTGTTCAAGGTGAGCGCCGCGCATGCTCGCCGTCGCTGACGTTTGCGGCGCGTAGCTCGGGGACTTGGGGACGGTGGTGCCCATGGACGGGTCCATGGAGATTATGGAAGGCGACAACCGGTACCTGTCGAGGTACACGTGTGCGTGCGGGCGACGGGTGTGGCTGATGAACGACGTTGCAGGGAGCTCTTGGAGGGGAATCGGTCGCATTTATGCCAGGGAGACATTTTTGCGCTCGGCGCGACCATGTACGAGCTGGTAAACACAGCGCGACGACCGACCCACGACGATGCCACATCTGAGTGCGTGCCTAGATTCGCGGCGAGGGCCTCCCGAGCTCGGGCGACGACTGGCAGAAGATTCGAAATGGCGAGTTGACCGTGTTCCGGTACGTGTCGGAGGATGGAGGATCATCAAGTCGTGACGAAGATGTTGTCCAGGCACTACTCGAGCTCGCTGCAGCACCTAATTGCGAGCATGCTGCACCCCGATCCCCTCGCGCGGCCGTCCGCCGACGAGATCCTGCGCCATGAAACAGTGGTCGATATCGTGTAAAGAACACTCGTCTTGTTCGTGTCGTCGGTCCGTGAAAGGTCCATGGCTGTGGAGGGGGAGGGGGCAAATGGAACCTTCATGCAGCATGGAATGCCCCAACTCGGGGCCGCTCTCGTCATGGATCGCAGCTCCGCGTCGTCGCCGTCGATTTTCGGTGTGGTAGCGTTCCGCCTTTAGTGATCGATTGCGTCCACACGGAGGTCGCCTCAACGCGCGAATGCGGGAAGAAGCCATCGCGGGCATGCGGCCCTGGCGCACGAGGCAGGATCGCACGATCGCCGCGCGCCATGGCGTCCGCGCTCGTCCGACTTGTTGGCCTCCCGTTTCTGCTATAAATAGAATCGAATCCAACCTTAGTCCGTGGCGATGCCGACGTCGTCAACCCAGATGGCGCGCCCGGCGTCCATGGCGGCGCTCTTGCTCTCCCCTCGTGGCACGGGCGGCTATACGCACTCGACGCCATCGCCTCGCATGTCCGCCGTTCATCCATCGCACATGTTGCTTCGCAACCTTCGTGTGGACTTTGGCCATCGAGTGTCCAAGGAGCACGACGACACCATCTACCACGTCAGGCTGCACAACCTTGCGTCCGGGCGTCAGTGGAACGTAGTCAAGACATTCCGCGATGTCCGCACCCTTCAGGACGCCATGGCCAGGCAGCTCAAGCAAGGCCACCCGTGTCACGATGTGTGTCCGTGGTTGTTTGCCCATGTCGCGACCACGTTTCCGCGGAGCGTGTCGGCGGCTCGCCCGTGGATGCATGCGCTGCGGTGGACGCGAAAGCCGCCGCCCGAGACGTCGCACCTCAAAATGTTTCTCTCGACCAGCCATGGCGTGTTTTCGGTCCCGCCAGGCCACTTGACCTGCCCCGTCCTTCTCAATGCAGTCGCGACGGTCTTGATCGAGTTCTTCTACGGCCCTGTGCGAGCCCACGATGAAGTGGAAGCCTCCTGTCCGCAGACAGGAATCCCTCTCTCGCCACCATCCGTCCGCTCCACGTCGTTTCACGACAAGGGTCGACAAGGCGACGTCGAGTGTGGTGTGTGCTTGCAATCGCTGGAGGAACACCCACGGCAGCACGAACACAGCGACGACGATGATGCATCAGATAGCCCACAGCGACGATGCGGCGCACACCAAATCGAACAGGTCAGCGTCACGACGCTGGCCTGTGGCCACCCGTTCCACGATGAGTGCATTGTGACGCATCTGAACGCGACGCTGCGATGTCCCGTGTGTGGTTTCGTGCCAAAGCTGTAGGAAGACAGACGTCATCGAGATCGATCGCGCACCACAGCTTGACTGCTATACTCGGTAAATACGCTACGAGGATATCCACTCCTTTGCGCCGACGCGCGCATTCCAGCGCACACCGTGGACTGCGCACGAATCCACGATGTGATCTCGTCCCCATTCGCCACATACCATTCATCGCCCAAGAGCTGCCACATTCCCGCAAACACACACAGAGCAACGTGCCCCAGAGTAGATTGTGATTTCTTCTTGTTCAGCGAAGCCTCCACCCGACGAACGCGCTGACCTGGCCTATGCGCGCTGTCACGTTGTGCCCTGAGGCGGTGGCGTTATCCGGATTATCCGTGGATTATCCGGATAACGTGCACCAGGAATCCGTCGAGAGCATGGCGAGCGGCCAGAAGAAGCGCGAGGTAAGGAAGCTGTCCGTGTAAGTTTGCCTCCTGTTCAATGGTATGATTGAACTAGGACAAGCGCTTCCACGGCGCATTCACGGGGGGCTTCTCAGCTGGGTACTTCAACACTGTCGGGAGCAAGGAAGGGTGGACGCCGAGCACGTTCCAGTCGTCGCGGTCGCAACTGCAGGGGTCGTCGGTGGGCGGCGACGCCCCAAAGCCACGACAGCAACGGATTGAAGACTTTATGGACGAAGAAGACGATCCGCTGCTGGGGCGGCGTCTCGGGTTGAATGCGCAATTCGATCCGCTTGCTGGCGACAACGCGTCCCGCTACGAGTTCCAAGCAAAACAGGCCGCAACGGCGTCAATCCCGGGCTTCATTGTCGACGATTTTATCCAGCCGTCGCGGAGTACTATCGGTACGACGTTGCTCGGAAAAATGGGGTGGAAGCCTGGACAAGGCGTCGGCCCGAAGGTGCGCAAGCGAAAGTTCACTTCTCGATTCACCGACGCGTTGCCACGGGACCAAGCCGACAGCGGCGACACCATCTTCGTCGCACCCAAACACACGCTCGACATCTCCACCATGTTTCCGCCGCCCAAGCTCGACAAGTATGGCGTCGGGTATGACCCGTACGTAAACGCCCCCGAGTTTGGGTTTTTGCAGCGGCGCCGGCAGCAACAAGCCTCGCAGGCGGCGTCAGGTGGCCCGCCGCGCGCCATGCTTACGTTTGCGGACTCGATTCGGGCCGACAACACAGCTCCATCATCGATGAGGTAACATGCACCCCCAAGGCCTTCTAGCCTTTCTAATGGACGTGGCAAGCCTTGGGCTGAGCGCCCTGGAAGAAGCTGACGATTTGGATGTGTACGCGATGGACTCGAAGGACGCATTCGACCGCGTTCTGGCAAAGCAGCCTTCTCGCGCCATGCTGATGGCGCCCCGCGACGATGACGGCGACGACGAGGAGTCGGCGGCGTCGCAAGTGTGCAGCGACGGCAGTCTCGTCTTGACTGGGTTTCGGCTGAGTACAACGCGATCGAAGCCACCGACCGTTCTCGTAGCCCACGTCGACGTGCCTCCCAACTGGGTCCCAACGCTGCAGCATCTCAAACTCGCGCCAGTCCGCAAGCAGACCACACAGTCGGCCGCCGATCGTGGCCGCGCGTTGGGGGAGCTCCCGCCCAAGCCACAAGCCGAGCGGCAGTTGCTCCATTCGCAGTTCCGCGCAGGTACGCAGCGTGTTTTCGATCGCCATGGCATGCCAACGTCATGTGGTAGGCATGATGGCCGCGATATCGAGTCGCTTCCAATCGTCGTCGGCATCGTCCGCCACGGACGAGATGGGTGCGTCGCTCGCCCCTCGCATGCAGATGGAGCCCCTCGCCCGCCAAACCAAGCCATGGATGCCGGACAGACTGCTGTGCAAGCGATTCCGCTTGCCTGTGCCGGACGCCGCCGTTGGCGACGTCCCTGCGAAGTCGACGCCGAATCGCCGCTTTGAACACGATATCATGGCGCATGTTCCTGTCGGTGCCGGGGTCGTCGCGCACGATCCTGTCGACGACCACGTGCTTCCCGACTTGCCGCCGCTGGAACGACCACCAATGGACCTGTTCCAGTCTGTCTTCGACAATCCAGACGACACGGAGGACGATGACAGCAGCAGTAGCAGCTCGAGCGACGAAGCAGCGGAGACAACTGCCACGCCACCTGCTTTAGCACCACCACGTGCGCCCGTCGGTCCGGCACGCCCCGAGACATTTCACGACACTTCCAAGAGAAAGGACGTCGAGTCGCCGTCCGAACGGGACGACCGCTACCGAAAGAAGAAGCACAAGAAGGACCACCGGGTGAAAAAGGACAAGAAGAAGCACAAAAAGCACCACCGAGCGTAGAAAGACGGTCCGTCGCCGCGCTGTCGACGTGCAAGCCACCACGGCACCCTCGATGTATAGGGTCTCTCTGTCGAACCAAACATCGATCGATGGGTGCAGCAGCTTGCTCGTAGACCCGTCGAGTCTGGGCAAACTTCCTTGCGTTCGCCACGCATTGGTACGGAGAGATGCAGTTGGGACAACGCTGCGGCGGCACATACGACCACACAGCACGGCTCCGTGGCGAGATGTACCATCACCATCACGGTGATTCGATCGGCCCAAGTCGTTCGATTACATATATATATAGCAAGCTGTGTCTAACTGTCTATTGAGGGGGTCGGTGGCTTAGTCGAACGTCTTCTTTTGGCCTTGGAAGCTCTGGATCGACGTGGGTTGGCGCTTGGGGGCACCATCGCCACGGCCACCGCGACCACCACGTCCTCCGCCACGTCCGCCACGGCCACCAAAGTCGCCACCGCGTCCGCCGCGACCACCAAACCCACGGCCGCCACCACGTCCGCCGCGACCACCAAAGTCACCCCGGCCGCCACGTCCGCCGCCCCGGCCTCCGCCACGGCCGCCAGAAAAGCCACCGCCGCCGCCGCCGTTGAATGGCTTCTTTTCAGAAAAGTTGACGCGGATGGCGCGGCCCAGCACGTCTTGGCCATTGAGCTTGACCGCTTCGTCCACCGCTTCCGACGTGCCAAAGTCAATGTGGCCAAACCCGCGAAAGTCGCCGGTCTCGCGGTCCGTGGCAAGGCGCACCGACTCGATGGGACCGCAGTGTTCAAACGTCGAGCGCAGAGTGTCTTCGTCAATATTCCACGACAGGTTGCCGATAAAGATCGACATGCACCCTTCCGGCTTGTCCGCGACGTGGTTCTTCTTTTCCGCCGAACGAATCTTCATCCAGCGACCGCCAAAGTCCTGGCCGTCCAGTGCGATCGCAGCTTCCGCGGCAGCGGCGTTGTCAAACGTAATGAACGCCGTGCCGGTCGAGCGGCCATTGGCGTCTTGGGGCAAGCGCAAGCTCGTGATTTCACCGCCAACGTTGGCGAAGACAGCCTTGAGCTCGTCTTCGTCGCAGACCCAAGGAAGGCCAGCGATGAAGATTTCGCAGTTCTCGGACGTGGCGGCGACAGCGCCACCGTCGTTGTTCTTGAGCACCTTGGCGGGTTGCTCGGTCGAGTCGGATGCCTTGCGCTTCTTGATCACGGGCGTTTCTTCTTCCGAGTCCGAGTCGGACGACGAGGAATCCGACGAGTCGGCCTTAGGAGCCGCTTTCTTGGCGGGAGTGGCGGCCTTCTTAGGCGCTTCATCTTCCGACGAAGAAGAGTCGTCCGACGAAGATTCTTCCTTCTTGGCAGGGGCCTTCTTGACGGGAGCAGCCTTCTTCGGCGCTTCGTCTTCCGAGGAAGAGTCGTCCGAAGAGGATGAGTCGGCTTTCTTCGCAGGCGCTGCCTTCTTGACGGGAGCAGCCTTCTTGGGCGCTTCCTCTTCCGAGGAAGAGTCATCGGACGAAGACGAGTCGGCCTTCTTCGCAGGCGCTGCCTTCTTCACAGGAGCAGCAGCCTTCTTGACGGGAGTGGCGGCCTTCTTGGGCGCTTCCTCTTCCGAGGAAGAGTCGTCAGACGAAGATGACTCGGCCTTCTTGGCAGGCGTCGCCTTCTTCACGGGGGCAGCAGCCTTCTTGGGCGCTTCGTCTTCCGAAGAAGACGAGTCGTCCGAGGATGAGGCAGCCTTCTTGGCCGGGGCGGCCTTCTTGGCAGGCGCCGCCTTCTTGACCGGGGCAGGAGCTTCACTGTCGGACGAGTCCGAGCTGCTGCTGCTGTCAGCCTTCACAGGCACGGGCTTGGACTGCTTCTTGGCCATTTCGTTGGTGGCGAATGCAAATATGGATGGCGGAAGCACCCCAAGTTGAAGCGCTCTCTTGACTGGTTCTCCAAAGCTCTCGCGGCCACCAACCAAAACTCGTGGTCCAAATAGAGGCTCTCTGATTGGTCAAAATGTTTTTCCCAATTTGTAGGGGCCACTTCGAATACACTCGGGACGTCGAAACGTTTCAACGTATGCGTTGAACTCCGGGTCGGCAACGGATTGGAGGAAAACGTCACGTGATCGGTTTAAACGTGTTCCCCCCCGATCGCACAGACATTTGAAACACGTGCCGTTTCGCGAAGCTCCCGAGGGAAGATGCCGTCACCCCGCGTGATTGCCGCCGATGGCGTGCCTGGTCAACGCAGCGGTCTCCACGTAAAAGCGGTCGATGTATGCCATGAAGTCTTGGACGCTGGCGTCGTCGCGAATCACCGTGTCCACGAAAGTGTCCGTCTGCGAGCGACGCTCACTCCAGCAACCACCCCGTGCGGTACGCTTACCTGGGCAACGGCTTGTTTCGATGCAATTGTGAGTTGGTTGGATATGATAGCATCATGCATCTACATAGTCGATGGAAAACGACGAACGTACGAGGTAGGATGTGCGCAGACAGGCACCTGTCGTTGATGCTTCTTCTTGAGGTCGTCGAGTTCCATGGCATGCAACGTGTGCAGGCGCTCGATTTCTCGACTGTGACGGGCGTTCGCTTCTTGGAGCTCGGCTTTCGACTCCAGAATTGACGCAGCTTGCGATTTGCACAGACGCGTGAGCTCCTGTCCACGTCGAGTTGTTGTTCAAATGTGTCGCCAGCTCATGACTTGCTGAAAAGCGAACCTCGAGTTGCTCGTGCAACGACACGTTTGTCGATCGTTCCGCGGCCAGCTCGGCCTCCAGGTTGTTTATTGTTTCGTTGACAATCTCAACGTAGGACAGAGGACGCCGTGGATCTCGACCTTGTGGTACGGGTGCTGGAGGCGTTGTGACTGCAGCGAAGTCGGATGATTCTGTCGATGTAGGCCTCGTGCGGTGCACCACTCGTTCGTACGCTTTCAGCCATGCATTTCGAGGGTGTGGAGGCGGCTTGCGTGGCGGCTTCTGCAGTCCATCCAGCGAACAAATCTGGAGCATCCCGATCAATCCATAGCCTTGCATGGCGACGCACCATGTGCCGAGGAAGCGTCTGGAGGGGGCCGAGGGGCGGTGCTTTGTCAAAGGGAGCTCGAAATACCTTGAACGGTCAGGGCAGATAGGTTCGAGTGGTCGGGTGCATCCTACCCCACGCCGGGCCATGTGCAGCAGCAAAATCGCGTAGTTGTTGGCGTTCTTCTTCCACTGGAGATGCAAGATCGGTTCAGAGATCTTCTCGACCCACTTCTCGATGCGAATCCTACGATTTTTACGTTGGAGTCATGCACATGGCGGTGCGACGTACTGCAATGGCTTGGGGAAATCCACGTAGATGCGCTCGATCTCCATGAGGATGCACACCAGTTCGTCGTCGAGCTGAACGGTCTCGTCCGAGTGGTTGTGGACGTTCGATGCCCGCCGTCGACGGCCAACTAGCCCCGTTCCAAGCTGTGGTCCATCCTCTTTCTTCATGATGAACGGAAGAACGACACCGCCACTGCAGCAGTTACATGGATTTCGAATCTTTAAGAACACGATACAATATGGTAGTGAACATTGGTCATGTAGAGGTCACGGTAATCTAGCGTAAGGGTGCTGGTGGGAAGATAGTCGTAGCAGGTGCCGACGTCCTCAGTCCTTGGATGCATGGTCGTGGTTGTTGCCTTCGTGGTCTTGCTCCAGCTTGGCGACTTGAATGTCTTCCCAAACTTCGGAATCTACAAGAGCAAGGCACACAATGCATGAGGATTCGCGAGGGATTGATTTGCGGCGGCATCGAGAGCAGCCATACTCTCTTTCTTCAGACACAAGAAGATGATTGCGTCGTTTTCAATCTCCTGGTCTGCCACAGTCGCTGCGTCCAAGAGCTCCTTTTGCTGGTCCATCGAAGCGCCATGAGCAACATACCCATTGCGATGGCAATGTACCTTGTTCGTGTGCCACAGCTGCACTTGGTTTGGTGAAGTCAGCGCAAGGATTGACGCCAGTGTTTCCTTCACCTTGAGGAATGTGTCGTGTGGCTCCGCGAGCACGAAGAACGTCTGGTTCCGTCGCTTCACGCGTAGGTACAGCGACATGCTTCTGGCTGCACCAAAACCTCCAAAATCCAAACTTTCGACGTATCCGGATACTATCCGGTGTACTACCTGCGTCTCGTCCGGTTGGATAGTATCCGGATACTTGCAAAACGCGCGAAGCGACACTTGAGGTCCTTGAGCGCGATGGACGAGTCCGTGGCGCAATGCTGCCGCCAAGAGCGGTGGGAGGAAGCAATCGCATTGATAGAGGGTGGAGCGAGTGTGGTGGAAGCCTTTGGGGTACGGTTTTCCATGCATCGTCTTCGCGAACTCAAGAGGACGTGTAGAATCACCAATACACAGCATTGCACTATGCAGCCATGCACGGTGCTGTGGTAAGCTGGGGCACCTTGTCTAATGTTCAATGCTCACGAACGTGTAGGCATGCGCATCCCTTCTCATCGCCCATGGATGTAACGTCAACGCTACGGGGAAGGTTTGTGCGCTCGCCTGAATCTTTTCGAACAGGATGATGATCGGACTCATGTGACAATGGTGGTCAGGACGGCCTTGCTCCGCTGCATTTAAGTGTACAGAATCGTCACAAGGTTTGTACTGTGCTCTGGCAATTTCGCCTTTGGATCGTGGATACACCTTCGACCTGACTTCGACTGTTTAGGACATGACAAGCTTGTTATTGGACAGTGGGGCAGACATCCACCTCGGTGACCTCGTACGGCCACGACCGGCAAACGTCGATAAGTCTAAAGCCCATCGATGTATGAATGTAGAAGGGAAATCAACCGTTTCTTGGTGCGCCATGGCACTCGATCGTGTACCCATGCCTTATCGCTCCAATCCACGATGCAATTCGACTTTCCATTCAATCGAGCGTCCACCTGCAAGCTTCCAACCTCTCCCTCCGTCAAAAAGCAAATCGTCTCCACTATCGGATTGCCCAAGCCAGGTCCAGTGTGTTCGACAGCCGAACAGTCTTGTTCGACAGTCGCAAGCATCGCCAGACCATTGAACACGACATTGCAACGACGGACCACGACATTCTCGTGACGGAGCGCAACATCGCAACCAGCGAAGCGATGCTGCGAGACATGCATCATGACAAAGTGAAGTGCGAAGCATTGCTGGTCGAAACGGCGGCGGCAACACTCGCAAAACAGGACGAATCGCGCGCGCTTGGCATCGCGCACGCCAACGTGAAACTGGAAGAAGCCCAGGTCGAGGCCGATATTGCCATGATCCAGACACACCTGCGAGGTTTCCATTGCTGCCCTCCAAATATTGCTCGAGGACTCCACAACCATGTTTGTAGACAAGTGCGAGACGCTGGCATGCATCTCCAAGTTGAGTGCCAATGAAATGCTCCAAGAACACAGTTTTCGAGCTCTTGCCAAGCTGTGCTTGCAATCCGGTCAGCATCGACGGCCAGTCCATTGAAGTCTTGATTCATCGTACTCATGTCGGTAGCGAACAGACTCGGTTCGCAAGCTGCTGGACAATGGCCTCGTCGTCACTGTGCTGGATGGGCTCGACTTGTATCCAAAGAACGTTTCGATTCAAAAGGACGGGACTGCGATCCTGTTTCGGATTGTGTCGACGACGGGTACGGTCTCTGCCGTGGCTACAATCTCGCAAAGGATGTGTGGTGCGGAAAGGATTGAGCACACTGGTGGTAGGAGCGATTCCAGCCAGTCATTTACAACGCACTTCATTCACTGTGTCGTCGGCACTCGTCGTCCTGCGCAATTCGTCCGTGATCAACTACGCCACTGATGCAAACGTGGCGGCCGTCGAGGCATTTGTAGCGTTTTTCATGGATGCGGCTGTTGGTAGGACGTCGCCGCTCGTCACATGAGTGCCGTTGCTCAGGAACGCCGTGAGTAGACGAGTCGGCCTTGCGATGCATTCACGAATCTGTCCGCGTACTGCATAAGCTTCGTGCGTGTCGACAACAACCCGCGTCCTCGCTTTTGAATGAACCGCCTGAAATCAACACCTCTCTCGACAACGAAGATGGCCGTCAAGATGTTGATGGCGCCAGTGCGTGAAGGATGGAATGGCTGGGCATGCAAGCAACCTGCAAATTGCCATCGAAGTTACATAATTGCGCATTTACAAGTCCCAAGACCGCCGACCTTGTTCTTTTGCGCCTCCAACCTCAAGTCCTCTTGCTCGATCGCGTCGGCGTCGACGGTCCGTGGATCGTTGTCACCGGCAGACGGAGCGAGCGCGTGCGCCGTCACGGGTGTGTCGTAGAACTGGAGGTCAAACTCGGACAACTCGACTCCAACTGCACGGGCGGCAATCAGATGCACCGTGCGAAGGACGTTGTCGCCGCTGTGAGCCGACAGCAGGAACGACCCTGTTAGCTTGTGCTTGCTCACGAATGCGTCGTGCTGAGCAACAGTGACAGCACGTAGTCCGACGAGGTCGATTTTATTGCCGACCAAGTAGACGAGCTGGTTCCGCGACGACTTTTTCTTGGACAGTTTGTCCTCGGCCGACGTCGCTGCCTTCACGACGAGGGCACACCAGTCCTCGGCGTCCGCGAACGACTTGGGGTCGGTCACGTCGTAGCAGACAAATACAATGTCGGTGCCGTACACGTACTTGTCGAGCATTTTGCTGCTGATGTTTTGACCTCCAATGTCCCAGACCTCGAGGATGACGCGCCGGTCGTGCGGTAGCTGAATCTTCTTGACGAAGAAGTCGAGGCCGATCGTTTGCTTGTACTGCTTCGCAAACCCATCGTCGACGAACCGGTTGATGATGCTCGACTTGCCCACCGATCCGTTCCCGAGCAAGATCAGCTTGCACACGGGATCGCCGGTGCCGCCGGTTTTCATGTCGTAATAACGAATTCGACAACGCCACGTGAAACCGAACGAACGAACAAAGCTCGCCCCACCGTCTGACCTGTGGACAAAACGTCATCCAACTCAAGACCAGTTGCGAGCCCACCAAGACCACCCCCACAAGAGAGACTGGGGGTGACCTCGTGGGGGATATCGCACCTCTCCGCACGGGTTGAAGGCAACCACGACGATGCGAAGCACGTAGCGCATCGGACTGTCGAATCCAGCAACACCTGGACTCGATGTGCGGTTACACTCCACGGAAACTGCGTCTGAAACGCCAACGTGATGGCCGCGCCCGTGGCCCGACAACAAACCTCCACATCGGGCGACTTGCCCCCGCGATTCTCGCTCGGCGCTGCCCAGAGCCGAGTTGTAGAGGCGCTCGAGGTGGACCCGGTCTTCTTCCTCAACGAACCTGGCTTTGAAGTACGTGTCCGCTCTTTGTTCGACTTGAGAAGCTTGACTTTCACATGGACCATCGTGTAGGCAGCGCGACACCAAAAGCTCAAGCACTGCTGTAAACGCGTACGAGTATGGCGCAAAAACGCTCCCAACCCTCTCGTGGCGTTCCGCTCGCAGATGGATCTAGGAACCGGTCAGCCAGCCCAGAAGAAGGAGCGGCGAATTCACGTTGCGGTGCTGTTAAACGGCATTTTGGACGCGTACGAGCAGTGCATCACGCGATACGACGACATATTGGCCATCGAGTCGCTGCCAGAGTACTTTGCCAACACCATCATGCAAAAAGCGAATGGCCGGTACGAAGGGCAACGCTCCTCGTGTACTGACAGCCGGAACCTCCACACCGACGCTGTAGGAAGAATGGCGTCGATCAAGTCCAGGCCACGATTGCAGCGATGCTCCACGCGACGGCCCATCCCCGCGTCCGCGCGTTTTCGAATCTCTGCGGCCTCAAGACAGACGCCGATGCCACCACTGACGCGTACAACTCGACCTTCAACCCTCCCGAGAAAACCGTCATGTTTCTTCGGTGTGTCGAAAAGATCTTCCGGGTGAAGCTCCGGGACAAGGCCGTGGGGGAGATCGACCCCACGGCATCCTCCATTGCTTCCATCGTATTTCACAACATCGGACTTCCCCAAGCCGCCGCCAAGATCGTCGTACATGAACTGTTCAACGAGCCCGACCCGTACTGGGCGTTCCAGTACCTTGAACCAGTCTGTGGCGAGCTCCACGGTAAGAATTCAACGTTGTGAACGTAGCATTTCACCGGTGGACTGTGCTCAGTACAGCGGCAGTGGCCGGCGACCGCCCAAGCGGAGCTCGTGGACCTGGTCTCCAAGCAAACGTCGTCTTCCCGCGGGATGCGCAAAATCGACGGCGACTTGTTCCTGGAGCTCCTCTTACAAACGTGGAACCGACGAGCCATGCAGCTGTACTCAGCGCTTGACGCTGCATGCGACGCCGAGGATGCCGACAGTGCCAGGCAAGTTCGGCAAGCGCTGGACAAGTGCGCGCTCGACAAAAAGGTCGTACCGTTGCAGCCGTTTGAAGTCGCCGGGTTTCAACGGATCGTTGAAGAATTCTGGCTGGCAGACGTCCCATGGCACGACCCAGCAATTCTCAACGAGTACCTCTTCGGGTGCACGCGGCCGATCAAGGAAATCCGCGCGCTCTTCCATGCGTTTCGAGACGAGTGCTCGCCGGCGTTGGCGTCGACGTGGGCATGGGAGACATGGCCGTGGGAGTCCGAGTGGGACTGGGGCAGTCTCGAGCTCCTGCCCACGCCGCCCATTCAATCCCCTTCCTCGCTGACGAGACACGGATCCACATTGACTCCTCCATCGTCGCAGACGTCGTCCCAGTCGGACTCCGGCCATCTCAACTTGGGGCACTTTGGCCTGGGGGACCGCGTGATGCAAAAGGTGGGCCAATTCCTCAACCAATCGACGTCGTCGCGGCGCCGTCTCAAGACGCTCGTCCTCCACGACAACTCGATCGCAGACAAAGGATGCGCCACGATCATTCACGCTGTGACCCATGCACAACACGCCCTCGTCACGTTGGACTTGAGCAACAACCGCATCCACGCCGACGGGATTGCCGCGTTGTCGGATGCCGTGCAGTCGCCCAAGTGCCAGCTCCAAACGTTGCTGCTGTCGAAAAATCGCGTCGGCGACGTTGTCGGCCGATCGCTCCTCACAGCCCTCGCCAACAACCTGACGTTGCAAACGGTGGACCTGTCGGAAAATGGGCTGCAAGCGTGTGGGCATGCTGTGGCTCTCGTGTTGAGATCGCACCCGAAGCTTCGTCAGCTAGACTTGTCGTGGAACTTGCTTCGAGGGAGTCATGCCGTCGCGGTCGCCATGAGTTTGGGCGACAACAACTGCCTCGAGTCGTTGAACGTATCGAGCAATGCATTTGGCGAGGCGGGGATGCTCTCGCTAGCCCAAGCGCTCACACGCAACACCGCGCTGCGCATGCTCAACGTCGGCCACAACAGCATCCATTCCGTCAAGGACGTGTCCAAGCTGAGCAAACTCCTCCGAGCCAATTCTACGCTGCACACGCTTGTCCTGAGCGGGAACCCCTTTGGCGAGACCATTGCCACTGCGCTGAGCAAACTCAACCGCCCGTCGCCGCAGCTCCATCTTGAGCTGGAAGGATGCACCTTGACCACAAGTTCCACCTACGCATTGCCCAAGGCCCGCGAAGACGGCGACCAAGGCGCCGCCACGACACAAGTGGACAGCGTTTCCACGTGCGTGGCATCGGGGAGCGGCGCGTCAAGGGCCCTCTAAATCGTCGACATTCCAAACGGTTTGTCAAGTCGAATGACCCACAGAGTCGAGTGCGGGTGGAATTATGTTACACGGCTATGTCGAGGATGGGGCGCGTTGTTGTCACACGTGGACACTGGTGGAACTACTCGTGATGGCACTGCGAATGCTCCTGCTGGACGTGATGATGCTTTCTTCGACGGCGGATCGAAGCTCCGACTCGCGCAGCTGGAACTGCTCTCGCTCGCGGCGGAATGCGAACCGTTGGTAGACGTGCCAACATACGAGCATCGCGACAACCACGATGACGCATCCACCCATCGTGAGGAGGACTTGGCAGGACATGGGGTCGCACAGCGGAGAGAACGGCTGCGGCGACGAAGTTGACGAGTGATCGACGACAGCGTCCTGTGTGGATTCGGGCACGAGAACGGCCGAGACGGTGGCTGTGCTGAACGAGGGTGGCCGCAGTGACGACGCTGGAGGAGACTGCAGGGTGGCTGAAGCTGTGGGCAGTGACGTCGCGGTGACGAAAGGGATCGTCGTTGCAATTGGCGCCGATGGCATGGAGACAAGGGCATCGGAAGGACCTGTGAGTGGGGCAAATGGTGACGGAGGTGGCGTCGGTGTCGAAAAAGACGGCGCGGCGACGACTGTGGCGGCGAGGCAGACAAGCGTCCACCATGCCATGCTGAAGCCAGGAACGGTGGTGCTTGTCCCAGTGGGGATGATGGCGTGTACGCTGCTATCAGCAGACGTGGATGTGTATGCTCGAGCCCATACGTGCGCAATCTCGTCCGAGCGGTGGAGCTGTCCGTGTCGGGTGGTGTGCGGCCGGGCGAGATCCGCACGAGATCCTGCGCAACGCCTCCAACATGTATATCGGCAAACTTCCGGTGAAACGACCGCCATGCACCCCAGAGTTCAACTTTGACGCGTCGACTTGCGATTCTCCATGGCCATCCGTGGCGACCTCTCGGCATGCGGTGCAAGGGCCAGTCGGCAACGATTCCATCGTGTGTGGTTGCCGCCAGCCTCCATGGACGGTAGCCTACTTGACGACGCATATGCCGTCCGGCGGGTGCATGGTCGGCGGTGACGATGCACTTGCTCGAAACGGAGCTTTGCAGTATCGATAGCGAGGGGTCGATGCCACGACGAGATCTCCAACATGATGCCGTATCATGTAGACAGAGCGCGGGTCCATCGGCATGGAAGAAGGTCGGTTTCAAAGCTTATCTGGATGACCTGAACGATATCTCTGCAGCAGCGGTGACCCCCACTCGGCCAAGCTGATCTATCCAACCGGCCATGAACGCGTTCACGTACTCAGCGACGTCCGCGAGGCGGCGCCATGTTTCCTTGGATGGGTCGTCGTGCACGTCATGAGCCCGGGCGATGTCGGCCACCCATCCGTCGTCCATGTACAGCACGCGGCCGAGGAGATTCAATGTATCTGTGCTGATGCTGTCGCTGTCCGCGCGGTACCCGCGTAAAGCTTTACCGTTCTCGCGAAGGACGTGCATGAGCCACGATGTGACTGCAGGAACACCCTCGGCCGTCGCGACTTCCCACATATCCAACAAACACCGAGCTTCTTTGGTTTGTCGAAAGAACGTCGGGACTTGAGTCCCCCGAGACGAAGCCTTCTCTTCTGCTTCGCATCGTTCGACAAAGTCGCACAAGTCGTGAAAAGTGAACTGACCAGGCTCCCTGTCGCGATCCGCGCCATTCAGGACGTACAAGACACCGACGTGCATCAAGTTCACGGCCACTGGGAGCTTGCCAGTGCCCTGGAGCGCAGCGATCTCGGCGAGGACGAGGAACTCCCTTTCATCGCCATCCCCGTCTCCACTCCCCTGTACCGGCGCCTGTTTAGCCGCTTGAAAGAGCTTCCGCAGCAGCACCTCCACTTGGGACGACGGCGGCGGCGGCATGAGATCTTGGTGAAACGGCGCAAGATATCGCAGCAACGAAACTCCGGATACCGTATCCGGATTTCCCTATCCTTGGAACAATCGAAAAATTCCATTATCATGCCGATTCCGCCCGTCAACACCGGCCGCCGCTCCTTCACCCATCAAGGTAAGGCATCGCCGATGGATGTGCGTGGCAGCGATTGACTTGACGGTGATGATTTATCCAGGACAACTGATCTATGAGTGGGAGCAATCGCTTGAAGAAGTGAACCTGTTCATTCGCCCGCCTCCAGGGATCACGGCCGCACACCTGAATTGCACAATCACACCGACGCGGCTGACCCTTGGCCTGAAAGGAAGCGCCGACAGATTTCTTGACGTACGTTTTTTGTTGTTTCCGTGCGCTGCTGACGACTGATTCAGCACGAGTTCTCGAGCCAAGTTGTGGCAGATGAATCGTACTGGATGCTCGGTAATCGGGTCTCCATGGCGGTCGATGTCCGCACTGACACGATGCTTTAGACGGGGGTGAATTGAACATTAACCTGCAAAAGATGAAGAAAGGACTCACGTGGGACTGCGTGTTTGTCGGCCACGGCGAGGTAAGTACCGCATCTGTCATGTCCTTCCTCAGTTCTGCAATCACAATGTCGTGCGCAGCTAGATCCACTGACCAAAGGCGAAGTGCAAAAGAAGCTCATGCTCGAGCGCTTCCAGCAAGAAAACCCTGGGTTTGACTTCTCCAATGCTGAATTCAACGGCGCCGCGCCCGACGCGCGGACGTTCATGGGCGGCGTCAAGTACACGTAGCGTCTTCATTGCAAGTCAACTTCACATGGAATTTCATGTGCTCGATCTCGGAACGACGTGGTCCCATTCACTCAAGCGCAGATCGTCAAGGTGGCTGAGGCATGTACTCTTGAATCCGGCCCACTGAACTTGGCCACACAGCTCCCCACACCACCTTAGCTTGTATCGAGGGACCCGGCAAGAACAGCTCGGCGGCATCGTGGATCAGTTGAATGACGGCCGTGTGGCGATGGTAACGATGTGGTGCAAGGGCACAGTTCCAGGTGCCGTGTGGCTGCCGCCTTAACCACACCACGAACATTGCCAATGATGTACGGCACGCGAGTCGCCCGTGCGGTGTCCATTGGGGTGTTGCATGAGCCATTCGCACATTGCAGCGACGCGGGGCTCGGTTGCGTGTTGGCAGGCCATCGCCATCTCGCCACGTTGCATGCTCTGGGTACAAGTACACTTCCGGGAGCACGACGACGGCGTCGAGGTGGTGGCTACGTGCCCACTGCGCAAAAGTGGGGTCCAACGCGCGTGGGCCAGTTAGAAACAACGGATTGCTCGTTGCATTCGGTGAAATGTTCCGCTGGATCGTGCGCAGGATGGCCATCCAGAAAGCATGGCGCGGTCGAGACGCCAGGAGCGCGTTCCTCAGACGAGGCAGCGCCAGCCCTTCCAGCAACATCGCGTGGACGGTGGGCTCACAACCAAGAAAGAGTGGAAAATGGAGTAGATCGTCGAACGGTCAGAGGCATTCAAAGTCGACGTCGATGCAAACCCCGCCGTACTGGTACAGCAGCGCGACCCGAGCCATGTCGGCCAGTTCGCTCACGGCCTTCGCGACGTCGTACAAGTCGGGAAAGGGCACTTCGAACAGACGCAGGTTATCGTGGTCGTCCCAAAACATGTACATCCACGACGGATGGAGCGTCCGCCACGTGCGAATCCAAGGCGCCAGCGCCTGTGGAATGCGGTGAGCAGTCTTCCACGACTGATGGATCATCTTGGGAATGACCATCGAACCCCTTCGTCTCGAGGCGGGTCCCGACGAACGGCGATGTGGGCGGAGGTGGGCAAGAGTTTCCAATCTCTATCCTATCCAAGTGTGCTGCACGATAGATCACGTACGCAGCCATCGTGATGAGCATTGTCCCAACGACCCTGACGTCGGCACGGCGCCGCCACATTCGAGCGCGAATGAAACTTCCAGACAAATCCCAGATAGCATTACTGAGTGCGTGTTCGGGCGTTGCTGCGCCACTTGAGCAACCCTGCATGGATACAACTCGCTTCATTACCGCCGCATTATCTGGTGCTGTGCCGCTTGTCTTTTCCGCCGCACTCTTCATGGCCTCGCAAGCGGTGGTCTCGGCGCTGGTCTTCTTCCATGAGGAGCTTCTGCTTCTGCGCTTCGTCGAGGTCTCCTTTCTTGAGATGGATCAAGTCTGGTCGGAAGCGGACGTCGCTCGGGAGAGGGTTCGCGACTGGCACGGGCAAGTATACGGGCGACGTTGCCATGTCCCACAGCACGGTATCGTCGACTTGGAAGTGCTTGAGCCACGACCC